AACCCCATCATCCCCAACACAGATGGTTATTGGACAATGGGAGTTGTAGTCCAGTACATTTGAAGGACACAAGATTGGGGAAGGTTGTTGTAACTGTTGTGGGAAAGTATATCATACAAAGTAAAACAAAACTGAGTCAGTTCTGATACCAAGGTTGTGGTGAGGCCATATTTAAATAGTTTTAGGGTAAATATTAGAAAAAGACTGCTGCATTTAAGTTAAACAAAGGCTGAACTGGCATTTGGGAGACACCACTATTTGTGTAGTTCACAGACAGTTTCTGAAGGTGATTCCACATTTCAAGGATGAAGTGACTTAAATCTTACTAGAGTTTGATACAGAAATGGCAGGAAATTTATTCATATTAGACTGAAGTATACTGTGGAATGGCAAAAATATACTCACATATGCTTCAGATTTCATATAGACATACATGCATTAGGTACAGGTAACTACATTTCCTAGTTCCGATCTTGAATGTTATATGCTGGAGTTCAAAATTTGGCATTATGGTGACTTTCCTGGTTTGGAGTCATATTTCAGCTTCAGATGAATGAGGCTTTAACCACATGCTTGTGGTAAATTCCAGTGAAGTCAGTGGAACTTATTTTCTAAGTTCCCACCCCCTTCAAAACAAATTGATCTTCAACATTAAAGCATAGCATTTGACATTCAAATCCTTTACTTTAGAATTTATTGATATTTAAGAGAAGCACATTTTGTAATATTTTGAGGACTTACTTCTAAAGAAAATAGAGAATTGTTTGTTATTTATCATATTTTTTGTTTAGAATTTCAGTAATCTGGTCTAGTCTTAGAGCTCAGAATCCTAGGAGGGAAATACTCATTTAGGTTATAAATCTGTGAGCAATTTATCTCTATAGACCCATCTTCTGTGGATCAAGGAACACCCTAAGTAGCTATAAAGCAGCCTTCCCCAAGCTGGAGTGCTCCAGATGTTTTGGATTTCAACTCCCATGACTTCAGGCAATATGGTAATGTTCAGGAAACTTGCAAATAGTAGTCCAAAACATGGGGAGGGCATCATGTTGGGAAAGACTTCCATGCAGATATCCTGACTTATAAATTGCCATAGAGGAGGTCAGGCTGAACAGAAACGCAGCATTTTAAAGCAGCAGCTCTTGAGGAAGGGACTCAACAGATCCCCAGTGAAATGGAAGCTAACTGTAGAAGTGCAGGGGCCACCACTGAAAATGCCCTGTGTCTTGTGCTTTCCCTTGTGACTGCTCTTGGCAGTGGAAAAGTGAGACAACTCTGTCAATTACTTCAGAATGTGGGCAGACTAGTAAGGGAAGGCAGTTCTTCATTTAATGAGCCCAAATTACTTCAGGCACATACTACACTTGAAGCATTTCCTGTCATCCTTCTACCTGTTATACAAATCTGCCATGAGCAGGAAAGGACATTTCTGAAAGATCATCCGATGCATCTATACACTTTGGTCTCATGCTTTATGAGTAGAAAATGCAAATTCTCATGAATTTGCCTTCTTTGAACAAATAAGTGATTAAGGAATGATAGATGCTGTCTCAACAATTAGGCCCAGCCACTGGGTTATATGATACATTGTACGGCTGTGATTCCCAAGGGGTGAAATTCAACCCTTCAGTGCTGTATACATGGCTGCCTTGGTGGCCAAAGCAGCCTCATGCTATTCGCTTCTTGCTTGGCTTCTTACCTAGACACAAGAGACATTCCTTCTCCTTTACACATCATAACTATTTTACAGCGAGACAGACATCCAAGCTTGACCAGCTGGCTGAAGAGCAGAGGGGACAGCACCACATGGAGGAACTGGCTGTCTTTAGCAGCAATCTGCCAGAGGAGTCCGTCTGCCCATGAGATTAAAGTTCTCCATGGCTGCTGGCTTTCCTACATGCCAGACTGTAGATGAGCAAAGAATTCCCCAGGATTTCCTTATTTTGTTTTCCCATGGTCTTTTGGCAAGGGCTCAGCTGGGTACGGATGGGCAAGCCTGGAAACTAGCAGAATTTTGTACCAGCAGCTAAAAGTCATTTTAAACATGATGAAAAGTTGACAGCAGGAAGCACATATACCTCTGACTTCATCTTTTTCACATTTCTGTGCCACGGCTGAAACTGATCTTTTTATCTCCCACAGTGGTCAGACCAGGCATTTTCAGTGTAATTGTCATTCTCTACCCATCATTGTTTACAGGTTCTTTAAACAACACCATAACCCTCCAATTTTGCTTCTGTTTCAAAAGTGTCCTTTGGGGGAAATGTGGGATTAGTTCTGAAAGTGAAAGGAAATGCTTTTCCACTTGTGTATTTGTGCTATTATGCTACACCACAGTGCCTCCTGGGGGTTATGGAGCAGAAAAGTGGGAAAGGAAACTCTCCCTCAGAGATACTCAGGTCCCAACCTTTTTCAACTTTGCAAAAACACAAGAGCAAAATTAGATTCAGTGGCTTAACCACCTTGTGTAGAAGAGCCTATAAACTACTGAAATGGGGGCAGTTTGCACATCTGACCACAAGGGACAATGCAACAGTGACAATCTGAACATTGCAGAGAGTGGAAGAAGGGCAAGAATCTCAAATCAACACGAGTTCCTACATATAACAAGAATGGGGCTACTTCCAGGTTGACTTTCCTACCATTGTGTCTCTGTGCTCTGAGTTGCTCCAAAATTCAAAGGCGCTGGAATTCTGCCATCCTCCAGATGGTTAGCACTATAACTCCCATCGTCCCTGGCCATTAGCCATGCTGCCTAAATTGTCATCCAAAAGTTCTGGAGGCCTCTAGGCTGTCTGCTCCTTTGAATGTCACTGTGAAGCTCCTTTAATATATTCAATTAAGCTTCAATAAAACTTAAGTGGTTCTGAGAACAGGGAAATATTTCTGCTTCTAATAAAAGGTAGTTTGCTAACAAATGGATTTTTCAGTGAGGATTCCCTGGCTGTCCTGAGAACAGGGGAACATCATGCATTTTATTTATCTGTGGGCCACCAGAGAAATCAGTGAGCACTACCTGCTGATGATGGTGATGATGATGACCTACAGATATGCGTAGAGATCTTGGATTTCTCAGTATCACCACTTCATACCTGCAATTCATGGCTGGATTACTGAACATGAAGAATGAAACTTTGTGGCTCAGAAGCCATATACTCTCCAGTATTAGTGCAGGTGCAAACGCTAGCCACTCCTTTGCATTATATCCCCTTCTACTCATGAAACTTTTGCAAGTACAGAACAGACACAATTGCTCTTTGCATGCTTTCTTGGCTAGTAGCAACTGCTCCCTTCAAGTAAGAACATAACAGAAGGAGGATCGTGCTGAATCAGGCCAAGGGCCTCCCTAATCCAGCATTCTGTTCCCACTGTGGCCAACAGAGTGCCCACGGGAACATTATAAACAGAACACAAACACAATTTCCCTCCTCTACTTCAGCTTTCCCAGCAACGGGTATAAAGAGCTGAAGGATCACTTATACTGGAAGTAAAATGTAGCTCTCATGACTAACAGCCATGAATGAATAGCCTTGCCTTGTGTCAAAAGCTCGGTCACCACAGGCTTCTCTGGAAGAGGCATTTACTGTGCACTCGTGCTTCCTTACTCACAGTAGTTTGAAGGTGCTTAACATGGTGCCATCATCTTCCAGATCTTCTGTTGCTTTTTCCAAGAAATTCTGCACTTTTTTTTTTTTTGGGAGATCAAGGAAAATGTAGTATTATCTGGAAAGAATGGATTGGAAGGAGGAGCATATGTATTTGTGCAATTCTGCTACACTGCAGCACCACCTTTTGGTTGTGTAATAGATCATCCAGAAAGGGAGAGAAAGAATTACTGCAGAAAACACACACAGAGACACATGCATAAAGGAGCCAATCTTGGAAAGAAACCATAAGGGGAAGTGTCAGTAAAGTGGCAGGTTAAAAGCCTCAAGTAGAGAAGCCCTACAAATTGAGCTGTAAGACTTTTTAAAGGAGATTAGTGGAAAAAGTGAATGTCCATACTCTGCTAGTCACTGCATAATGCTCTTAATATTGCAGTCATTTTTAAAATTTCTGGAGTGCTTTTGTTTTAATTTGTTTCTAATCCACCCAACATGTGGATTCCTTTCCCAGTATCTATAGCACTCACTCAGTTCTGCCTTAAAATCAAAGCTGAAATACCCCCATCCCTGTAGCCAACAGTATAAAACCCATTTGAGATCATTTATCTTTCCTCAGCAACTCAGAGTGTCCTAAAGAAATCACACGATTAGGGACCCACTCAAGTGAAATTGGTATTATTTATGATTGCCAGGTTCTGTCCCCTGTCTGGGGCTGTTGCTTCTTTTGCCCCATTTCTGTTCTTCAGGATTGAAATCCTGCTTATCTCAACCAGGCAATGGAATAGCATTTCAGTGCTGTAGAAGATGATGATGGTGATGGAAGAATAGGATGGAAATCACAGTGGACTCTGTACATAACCTTCGTACCTCCCATAAACTACTCAGATTGGCAAAATTTACCGGCTAGCAATTTCACTTAGGATGGCAGCTTCAGTTAGTAATGCTACATATCTTTAAAGTACAGGTCTTTTCTCTAAGGGAACATTGGCTGCAGCACTGAAGTGTGCATGCAACACCAGGAAAACAGCCAGTGCAATTCCCATAAAATTATTGTAAGTCTATGTAAGGATGGTAGTGGAAGGGTAGTACAAAACTAAGACTCCAATCATCACTCTGCCCTGAAACTTACTTCATGGCCTTGGTTCACTTACCATTGGTTAGTCCTTACAGGATTGTTGTGAAGACATTAAGAGGGTGGATCATATATAGTGCCCTGAATTCTTTGAAAGACGAGTACCTTAAAAATAATATTTGCATTTGTTATATTTTATAACATTTTATAACAGTGTGATATATTTAAATCATGCTGTAGTTTCCAATACGCATGATATACTTTCCCCATTTGTACAAAACAAACAACAAAACCTGTTGCTTTTTTCTCTTTTTTGTGTCCAGGCTTCACAGCAAGATGCGGGCTTGGGTCTTCTTCCTCCTCTGCCTTGCGGGCAAGGCCCTGGCAACACAGGTAAGCATCAGGTGTGGCCCCAACCCTCTCCTTTGCTGAGAGTTGATGTCAGTCCCTTAAGGACTCCCATTTGGGTACTCGTGAGAAAGCTGACGGGTTCGGGGCCCATGTGCACAAGAGGGCTGCCTCTGTTGAACCTGCAGCATTCCAGACTCTTCCTTCCCATCTCCATACCCAGAAAAGAGTCAACCATTGAATTTCTGTCCCATCACTCAAGAGAGATTAAAGGGGCAACCCTGTGCAATACAAACAAAGACCTGTAACTCTTGCTGGAAGTTGTAGCCCTTTTTCCCTTTTAAGCTTTGCATAGAATTGCCCCCTTGCATTATTTTCACACAGCAGTTGTGTGAAATTTCACCCTTACCTTATTTTCACATGGTACAGCACCTTTCCCTCACTTGCACTTCCACGCAGGAAGCATATCCTAAGCCGAGTGTCCCTAGCCCATGCCATTACAGGCACATCGGCTAGGACTGAAGCAGAACGAACAGCACCGGAGGCTGAAATACTGCAAAGACTGGAAATGGGCTTACTCTGATTCTTGATAAGATCTAAGTGTGGTATCTAATGCGACGCTCCACTAATGTCAGTTAGCTTCCTTGCATCAGCAAGCTCAGCGCAAGGCCAACAGCGCTTGCCGGTGTCCAGCACTGCTCCAGAGTGGGAAAGCAGTCAGCGTTCACTGGCTTGCAAGTTAGTTTTGACACTTTGGGCTCTCTATAGAAGCCCTGAATGCCATTGTATTTGCCAAGGAAACAAGCAAGTTGTCATTGCTATTTTAATGGGGAGTTTCCCCACGTTCTGGGGGGTCGCAGGAGCTGCAGTGGGGGCTGCAATGGCCTTCTCTCCTTTTGCAGTTGCTTGATTGAAATGAAGTGCCACTTTTTATTTCAATTATTAGCCCTCTCAATATAATAGAAGCACTACCTTTTAGCAATAGGCCAAAAAAAAAAAAAAACCCAAAACAAACAAACCCTGAGCACCACTATAGTTTCTACCTTATTTCCCAAGAAAAAAAATCTTACTGAGGTATATTTATTTTTATAATTTAGATTTTGGCCTCATCCTCCAAATGCAGTATCAGAAATTTAAAACACACATGCACAAATCAATCTTTGTACAAACACTATAGGCCTTTAGCATCTATAAAACATGGGAAAACGGAAACAGCCAGCCACACACATGAATTATTTCTGGACTTTCTGCCCATTCAGGACTTTCTGCTTTATTTCCTGCAAGGTAATAAAGGTGGCAAACCAGAGACTGTTTGGCCCCCAGGCAATGGACCAGTTGTTCAGGGTGTTCTTATTACTATGCCAGGCCAAGGAGGCTTGAGGGCCTCTGACTCTGGCTCTGCAAGCCAGTAAGGAAAGCGACAAGGGACGGTGGCATAGCAAATAATGAGAAGGGGCAAGGAGCTCCACTGATTAGAAGAGGGCCTACTTGGTCTGACTATGTCAAAGGGACGCAGGATGAAAACAGTCTCACTCTTTCTCCCAGTGAGTGGACAGGGGCAGAACAGGAGCTGATGCACACTTGGTCAGTGCAGTGGGTGTGGAACAAGCAGAAAGAGCAGTGAGTTCCAGAATCTTCCATAAATGACTTTCTTTCTTTCTTTCTTTCTTTCTTTCTTTCAGCAGGAAGCACTGCCAGAAGAGATGGAAGTCATAGAGGATTCCGCAACAGAGGTATACCTTAAGACAACATGGACTCCCTTCACTTTCTCTTTAAAGGACTTTGTGGGAGCAGCAAGCCATTTCTACCTTCCGAGCATGCAAGCATAGCTTTTATCTATTTCATTGTGATTTCAGAGCTTGCAGGGGCTGCTTGGAAGAAGTGCAATCGGCATCTCTCAGTTCAAGTTGCAGCAAACACAAACCCAGCCTCTTTCATTCTTCCCTCCCATGCACTGGAGCCAGGGATGGAGAGGGCAGCATAATTTGCTCCTGTCCCTCTTTGGGACAGCAGGGTTGGGGACGTGTCCTGCACCATCACCATCATCCCCACAGCCACCATTTGCCATACTGCAGCCCCTTCAGCTCGCTCACTCCTGCAGAGCTGAGGGAGGGTGCTGGAAAGCAGGGCACGCCTAAGAGAAGAAACCCATTCTTCCCCACAGACTGTTGCAGCGTGGAATGTGCGGTCCTTCCAGCCAGCCACACACCTTGTTGAGATTCACCCTATGGTTCCCCTGGCCCACCCAGTTTTCTTTCTTTTTTCTTTTTTCTCCCTGCAACAGTAAGCCAATATTCTATATGCAGTGAGCGTGCTCGTTTTTCATTCAGCTGTCTTCTCCCACCACTGATTAGGGGCTTTTTCCTCAACGTTTTTGTCCCCCAAGCCTCTGGTGTAGATGGTAACATTTGGTATGCAAAGATCCACACTCGAAGCATGCATGGACAAAAACCCAAGCTTTGCTTAACCAAGGGTGGGCAACTTAAGGACTTTCAGATCTCCCAGCCTATAATTCTCTTCACCCCTGGCCAGCGCTGGCAGTTGTGAGGGACTGTGGGAACAACAGGCCACAACATCTGGAAAGTCACGAGTTGCCCGCCACTGGCTAGGTTGTCGTGAGCATAGCGGTGTGGTGGTGCCTGTTGCCCAAGCACTCCTGCTGCAGGTGGGCTCAGCCCAAGTCCCAGCCCTGCTTGTCTCTTGCCCAGCAAGCCTGAGCTCCTAATCAGAGTCGCACTTGCAGTGGGAGCCATGGGGCTGTGCGCATCAGCATCTCTGCTCATTTCAAGCAACCCCAGGCTTAAAAGTCCCCTGGGCTGTTGTGATGTGCGAACTGGGTCAAAGAGTTCACTGTAGCTGTGTGTATATCTATAAGTGTGTACATGCACATGCACAGAACACACATTTGCAGATGCACACATATCATACACATATATGTACATATATGCATATCACATGCACACACATATATATGCACAGATGCCATGTGCATACACACATGTTTAGGTGATACGAAAACAATATGTGGAGGAGGGAATGGCAGCATGTTAATTCTTGGCTAGAGCAGCAAAGCAGCTCCGGGTTGGCCCTGCCTTCAGAAAATGAAACAAACCATTGCCCTTGATGTGAGCATCAACTGTACGGACTGAGCCAGTTCGCTGACACTTGCCCTTCTGGGCTCTGTGGGCTGTGGAGGCGTGTCTCTTAAAGTGTACATTTGACTATATTGGGAATAGCCCCCGTGCTGCAAAGGACAGGAGCCAATCAGCCCAGCAGCACCTGGCCTCATTCTATGATTTCTCTGCTCAGGAGCCTGTGGGAATCAACCCAGTTCAGGTGGAGGTTGGCGAGTTTGATGAGCCTGCTGTGGATGTGGAGGAGATCGTGTCCGAAAGTAAGTGGTTTCACACCCAGCCCTCAACTCACGACGCTATTTGCACGCATACATACAGTAGGTGTTTGACGTGTGTTCCTAATGCGTGCATGTAAGAACGTGTATTTTATACAAGTGCAGATAGGGGTGACCTGGGATTGGCATTTGTCACTATGGAATGCATAATAAGGTCCCTCTCTAGAGGATAAAATTACAATATAACTTCAAAATGTGCAGGAGGGGCATGTATACAAAGAACACATGTGGGGCTTCTGCACACACAACCAAAGTCCTTGGCAAAAATATATTTTGGAGCCTTCCTCATCAGGAGAATGATTTCAGATTGTACTGATGAGGCCCAGCAGCGTGAGCCAGTGTGGCTTCCTGTGACCCTCCAGACTGAGGGCACTACCAATATCCTCTCAAGGGCAGGAGAAGCATGGAGGCGAAAGTCCCCTCTGTACGCCTCCCATCCTGCAAAAGACTTAGATAGGGCTGCTGGCAACTGGAATCCAAAACACCTGCAAAGCAGCAAGTAGACCTTCTCTGAGCCCATTCCTCTTTCCCCCGCTTCTCCCTTTACTCTGTGCATGGGCACAGCCCTTAGCAAATTGAAGGTTCTCCAGCAGGAGGCTGAGCAGTATGTGGCATCTGCAGCATCTCCTCAGAGCTCCATAGGAAACTTTAAATGGCTAGTGGCACTTCTTTAAAGGACCACAGAGGGGAGGGAATGGTCTCTAGAGAAGCGGCTGCTCCATCCCCCCATTTCACCTATGCAATTGTTTCATAAACATCCACCTTTTAGGCTTTATTTGCCAAGTGAGTAAGAAAGGAGGACATCAGTTAGTTCTCTGGTGGCACCGTGTAGCAAGAAGTCAGCAATCTAGCAGAAGCAGATGCTGACATGTACAGCTTAACAGCCAAATATTAGCTAAGGCCTTCTGGCTATTTCCTAGTTGTTCCAGCCAGTGACAACGGTAAATTGTGGAATTTAAGTTGAAATGTCTGACTCCATAAATATGCTTTTTAGCAAATCCTCTGTCTCAAGAGCCAAGCAAACACAGAACTGGATGGCTCAGGCTCTGCTGTGGGGGAAAAGGCAGAGGCCACTCTCCCAAGACTAGTTCTCTGGGTTTTTATGAAGTGCTGCAGACTCCATTTTGGCTTCTAAAAAGGCTCTCCTGGTTTTTCCTGCTTAGACCCCTGCCAGAACCATCACTGCAAGCACGGCAAAGTCTGTGAAGTAGATGAAAACAACACCCCGATGTGTGTGTGCCAAGATCCTTCCAGCTGCCCAGCCAGCACTGCAGTGTTTGAGAAGGTGAGCAGAGGCTCTGGAATCACCGCAGGGATGAGCGAGTTCAGGCCAGTGCTGCAGACAGACAAAAGAGATGGCCACTGGAACCTGGTGATGGCTTGTGGCCCCATGTAGGTTGCAGGTGGAGTGGAGAGGTTGCTGCATGTCTGGTTAGGGTGGATAGGATTAGGGATGGAACACGTAATGATTTGCCATGCTGCTGTGCCACCATGTACAACACCAGCCATGCTTGCCCTGGTAGGGTGTGTTGCGAGTACAGAAACACATGATGTGATCCAACCTGACCCCTTGAGTGGAAACCACAGATATTACTGGGAAAGGCATGGGAGCAATCATGGGGGCGAGGCAAAGACACCACCCAGGAAACAGCTTTAGTTTATAGGTTTAGACATAGTTCAGCTTTGGATGATCCAAACAGATCTGGATGAGGATGGGTACCTGCTGTCCAAAACATGTTCTAAGTGCTGGGAAGCCACCATGTTCCCCTGATGTTGTGTACTCTTCTCATGTTCTCACCTGGCTTGGGGAAATTATCCAGCCTAATCTATGTATGTTTCTGATCATTGCAGGAAGTTGATCACTGGAGGAGGGTATTGAATAAGGCAGTGATATGATTGCTTGCTTGCTGCTGATGGCAGCTGGACAATTCTAGGAAATGTAGCTTAGGATTTTTCTAGACCCAAACTAATCAGGATTGAGGCCACATTGGGTGTCCTGGTCAATGATCTATATCTAGAAATGGGTGGAGGGAGTGTAACGCCACTCATTCTCCCACCTTCTTAGTGGTTTTGGTAAGCAAGGACCACCAGGTCTCTAAAGGCTGCCCAAGACAGATGGGCGTGGGAGGCTCTGCTTGACAGCAGTTCTTCTCCTGCTTGTTGGGTTGTTGTCAAAGAGCAGCAACAGAGGACTTTCCCATCTCTTGGCATTTGTCCTGTCCAAAGTCCCATCTCAATCGTTGTGCTTTTTAACCTTCTAAATAAAGCTGCTGGGAAATCACTTTTCATTTAAGAGAACACCCACCTCTACTTCTCATTTTCCTCAAATCCAGAAGCAGCAGTTTAGTCCCTGAATGAATCCTAAATACAGTTATGGGCTTGGTGAGGGTTAATCTGAATGCAGCTGGCATTTGAGTTAGCCTAGGCCTGAAGGGCTGCAGATTTGCCTGTCCTGGATAGAGAGAGAGAGAGACAGACAGGTCCTTCCTCCATGGAAGTGCTTTCTCTTTTCACATAGTGATCACTTGTCTTTCCTCAAAGGTATGTGGCACTGACAACAAGACCTATGACACTTCCTGCCACTTCTTTGCTACCAAATGCACTTTGGAAGGAACCAAGAAGGGACACAAGCTCCACCTGGACTACATTGGACCTTGCAAATGTAAGTTTTCAATGTTGGGATAGGGAACAATCCAATCAGAAGCAAGCCATATTCAGCACATTTATCTTCCAACAACTATGTCTGTCTCGAACCATCAGCCTGGTCTGCAGTGGCATGAGATAGCTTCTAATTAGCAAGTGCTCTCCTGGCTTTCTCTCGTCCCGGCTCAAGGTATCTACAGCTGCTCTATCTGTTTGTGGAACACCCAGTGGCTAAGGCGATTTCCTGTTTCCAGGAGTTCCACTATAGCTGTCCTGTATGATGAACAAGATCCCTAAGTTTGAGTGTGGCGGGAAAACATGTTGAATAAATTATAAACATCTTCACAGCCAAACTTTTTGAACAGGCAGGATGGAGTTAGATGAGGTCAAACTCAAGAATGTATGATCAAGGTAGCTTTACGTGTCGGTCAGATTTTTTTTTTTTTTTTGGTTTGGTTTTTTGTGGGTCCGAATTTGAAAGCAAGAAGCAGCCTCAGAAACCAACATAAAGAGAGACATTCTTTCTCTCTCGGTCTCTCTCTGTCTCTCTCTGCCCCCCTCCACACACACACACAATGGACACCTTTGACCGAAGCAGCTGTGCACTATACAAGAGACATAATGGTCCATGTTTGTCTGTGTTTTGTATCTATTACTCTTCCTGCCACTGTTAGGCAGGGCCAAGTGCGGCAGGCAGACCTTTCTATGCCTGAATACAATAGCATGGCCTGTCTCTTACTGAGACACAACTGATGAGCTTCTGGTTACATTTCAGTCATCCCTGAATGCCTTGATGCCGAACTGAGTGAATTCCCCCTGCGCATGCGTGACTGGCTGAAGAACGTGCTGGTCACCCTGTACGAGCGTGACGAAAACAACAACCTGTTGACTGAGAAGCAGAAGCTCAAGGTGAGCAAGTCCGCTGCAGGAGTGTATCCCCACAACCTTATACTGCCTGCTGAAAGCGGGTTTGCCTCTGTTTTGAGAGATGAAGATGTACTTACCCACTTCCACCAAGGCCAGGACTGTGCACAGCACTGCAGGCATACAGAACCTCCAGCCCACCGACTGCAATCTGCAGGCCTCTCCAGCCCTCAGAGCCCCTGTGGGTTTGTCCGGGGGGTGGGGCCTTGACCTTCGAGCCACAGCAGGAACTCCTGCTGTTATTTTCAGTCTGAAATCAGGGTCAGGAGTGGGGATTTAAGTGGTTGGGGACTCAGCCTGTCCTGGAATAATTGGTCCAGACATCCAAAGAACACCTCTATGCATTAAGTTGTTGCTGTTTTTAAAAAGTGATAGATAGATAGATAGATAGATAGATAGATAGATAGATAGATAGAAAGATAGATAGATAGACAGACAGACAGACAGACAGACAGACAGACAGACAGACAGACAGATGTAGGTATAGTGTGTGACTAAACATATACCTTATGAATGAAGCAAACATGAGTCATTCTGGTGTACCCATTAGAGCCAGGATTGGCTGTGACAGATGCATGCCAAGTATACACTTCTGGCAATCTGCCATGTTATACACATGTATACATTCATTAAGCCTTTCCTCATTGCATTTATATGCAAATATGCTATAGCAAAAGGGGACTTGTTGGGGGGGGGGCAGTAAGGTTTGCACTAATACTTACGGCATTACCCTGTCGTATATATTTCTGCCAATAATCCAACAGCACAGTTCTGCAACTTTTCTTTGCCATGAAGCATGGACATGATTTTTCTCTCCAGGAGAGGCTCTAAGCACAATTGCAGGCTAAATTAAAAACTGCCAACTGTGTCTTGCTGAACAGGTGAAGAAGATCCATGAGAATGAGAAGCGCTTGGAAGCTGGTGACCACACAGTGGAACTGCTGGCCCGTGACTTCGAGAAGAACTACAACATGTACATCTTCCCTGTGCACTGGCAATTTGGTCAGCTCGACCAGCACCCCATTGATGGGTATGTCCCTGCACATTTATAAAGAAGACAGTGGCTTCCCTGGCTTATGGCAGACCCTAGCATAGTCAAGTTACTTTTGCATTATGTTACAATCAAAATCCATTCTTTGATACCATTTGTAAGCAAGCAAGGTTTGAAAGAACAGCCTGGAACAGAGGAACCAAGCCTCCAATCTATCTTAGATGTTCAAAACACACTGTCTGCACATGACTTAGCACTGCAGTAAGGGCGTTAGGGAGCACGGGAACTTTTGACCAGGGCAGATGGGTATGTTGACATACTACAGAACTGCGACACAAATCAAGATTTTGGCTCCCAGCATGGTAAACAGAGCAGCCTTCAGATTCCTGTGGAATTTAACTTTAATTAAAAACAAACAATTCTTATAAGGTTAGATATAAGAGGGCAATGTCTGCGAAAGGCTCTGGTACAAAGGCAGCGCTGAACCACTTTAAGCAGACAGCCAAATATTATTTCAGAGACACTTTTAGGAGGATGTCCTAGTGGTGGGTATAGCAGGGCAAAATACCATGAATGCCAGCTCATTACACCTCAAGTTCTCACTGACAGTGTTGAAGCACTGCGAGCTTTTCAACTGGCAGGAGGCAGGCACCCAAAAGCTGGAAAACTGCCAAGCAACAGGTGGTTAAGAGAAAAGGGTGGTGCCGGCAGAAGAGGGAGCAACTATTAGAGGGACCCCAGGTGGCTGCGGTTACAGTGGGTCCTCAGGTGGGCCAGATCTGGACCAGGACAGAGGGTGCTGTGCAGCCCTATATGATCTCCTTAAGAATTTGGGTTGGGATCAACCTCAGCATTAAACTGCCATTGCAATAATGTACTTGATGGGATGTCTGGAGGGGAAGGAAGTTGCTGCCCTTGTTTGGCTTCTTAGGTGGCCAGGAAACCCTCTGGCTGATGGGATGGGAGATCTTGGTTCCTCTTGCAGCAGCCTGTTTCGTATACTACCCAACTGATGTGAGTGCTGCTTCCTAATGGCTTCATCCCAGGCACTCTACTAAGATCTGAAAGCGGGGCAATCACGAGAGAAGGTTGGAGCACTTGAGTTCCCACATGAGTGTCCCGCTCCACTTTCTTCCAGAGAGTGGCACTGTTTGCAGTGGTTGGAAAGTCCATGTTTCCATGGTTCTCAGATAATGTATGAATCAAGCTGCAGCCTGGTACAAAAAGAAAGTGTTGCTATCAGAGGGGATCAGAGAAGACGTGGGAGACCCCAGTGGCCTGAATTGCTGCCGTAGGTTGACCCAATATGAGGCCAACACGCAACTGGCCATTGCCTTAACACTGGACCCAGCATGCAGAACTCTTCTTATTGAACAGATGTGAAAGTCACTCAAATATATACAGAAAGATTAGCAGTGGTAGACCAGAGCTCTGGGAGCAGAACCGCACCCTCCTACAAGTTCCCTTCGTGGCAGTTCCTGCTCCAACTCATGTGTACCGCAAGGAAAATGATGAAGGCAATTCTTTCCACTCTAGTGAAAGCTGCTGCCTACAGGAGCCTTCCTCAGCCCAGGTCCTTCCTGATGTTTTAGACTCAGTGATGATGGGAATTGTAGTCAGAAGCTCAGGAGGGACCCACACTGGAGAAGCCTAGTTATGGCATGCTGAGTTTTCCTACATGAGGCATTAATTGTGCCTGCATGATGTCCTACTTATTTTAGATAACTTCACAACCCTCCTTAGGCAAGGGGAATTTTTTAGAGCAAAGAAAATGTGGTATTAATTAAAGTAATTGAAAGAAATCACATCGCTCACTTGTGCATTTGGACTGTTCTCCCATACCACCATGCCCCCTAGAGGTAATAGAGCATGGAAGCAATCAAGGAAACGCTGCTCCGTTCAGCCAAGAACCCCAAAGTATATGCAGCAGATTGTGTAGAGAAGCTTGCACTGGGTGCTGTTGTGACCATGTTGCTCTGGCTTGCAGGTACCTGTCCCACACTGAGCTGGCCCCACTGAGAGCCCCCCTCATCCCCATGGAGCACTGCACCACTCGCTTCTTCGACACATGCGATCTAGACAACGACAAGTACATCGCTCTTGAGGAATGGGCCAGATGCTTTGGCATTAAGGAGAGTAAGTAGCATGCATCCATCCCATAAACCACTTCGCTCTGTGCAAGTTAGCCATCTTTCCAAGCATCCTTCGCTTTCTAACCCCTCAATGCAAATGTATCCTGCAACGAACTAAATTAGAATCCTGAACCTATTAACCACTGACTTACAGGTAATAGCACATTTAGAAAATTATTGCATAGTGATAGATCAGTGTCATGTACAGATTAGTACAGCTGTTCTTATTTTTTTCTTCTTCTTTTACAGAGGATATTGACAAGGATCTTGTGATCTAAATTCATCAGCTTCTTCATCCGTTACCTACAGCTCAAAGTTTTCTTTCATTTTTTAACAATTTAAGGGTTTTTTTTTTGTTGTTTTACCAGGGACAAGGTGCTAATATAGATCTAATCTTATATATTAACGGTGCTAAAAAAAGAGAGACAGAAAATTGATAGTAGCCTAATCTATGCCACTAGATTACTCCGCTCACACCTCATCGTGTGTGTTTCTGCTGACTTTTTGATTCGGTAGTATCAGTACAGTGAAAAATTGTACTTCTGTTCAAAGTAATCTACCCCTTCTGACCCCTTCTTTTTCTATCTTAAAAAAAAAACTCAATAAATTTGGAGCTATTGAATTCTCAGGCAAAGGAACACCAGACTAAGCTCCCCATTTTCTAGAAGGCAAGTAAAGGAAGGTGTACCAAAAAAAAGGGTGTTGGGAGACGGCTTTACAAAGTCACATGGTGCAATTGTTTTAAGAAAGTTTAGGAGACCTGGATTCTGCTCACTAGTAGGAGGAGAGAGCAATGGGAGAGGCCTGCAAAGTAGGAACGGTGACAACAAACAGTTATTGATTGTAACAATAATTGGACACAGACTCACACAAAAGTGACAAAAACAGAGAGGAATTGTATGGAAAAATAAGTCTCATTACTCCCCCACACCTTTAAAAATAAAAAGTTAAAACTGCTACCTGCTTCATTACTACTCAGAGACTGTATTGTTTCTTGCTGTGTTTGCCATGCCTTAAAAGTTAGATTTGGTGCTCATCTATGTTTGGTTGTGGTTCTTTTTTATTGAGTCATTTGTGCTGGTGTGATTTGTTCGTGACTGAAACACATCCCAAGCCACAAGAATACATTTCCCTGTATTAGTCTTCTCCACATAACTACCCATGGCATTCCAAAATTCTCATCCTGTCTTTGGAAACTAAATTTTGGATGCAATATTTCTACTTAGAAAAAGGTGCTTGGTGTAAACTAGTCAGCATTTCTGTTTTGGCTGGGCTTGGGTTTCTTTACTGGAGGAAGCATATCCTGAGCAGAAGGATCTCCTGCATTGCAGAGAGAGAGAAAAAGGTCATAAGTTAAGACTCCTCGTATTTCTTAATATTCTCTGGGCATCTTATCCTTACAAGCTGCAGTGTTCCTGCAGCATGAGCAGTCAAATGGATTTCCCATTTATAAAAGAACAGTACTTTGGAATCACAGTAATAATGAGACTGAAATGAACCTATTGTCTTCTAGTCAGTTTCTAGTCATGCTCAGCCCAAGAGCCACTTTTGAAAACTTTTGTATAGTTGGTTTCCATACATCCCGAAGTGCCTGATCCTGCTTAATCTTGACAGTTAAGCAGGGTTGGGTGTGGTTGAAATTGGATGGGTGACTTAAACCAGAGAGCTTCAACTAGGGGAAATATAGAAACATCATCATCATCATCATTAATAATTCTCAGAGTTATATTTTTTAAAAAATATATTTTTATTTAACTCTCATCTGCTTTTCAAGACATAATCTTCTCAAGCCAGCTTTCAATAGAAAACAGTAATGTTCAGTGTCAAAAATTGTAAGACCAACTAAAATGTACATAGTTTATAATACACCAGTTAAAATAACATACAACTCAAATAAATATAAGCAGCAAGCACATTTCAAATTGTTCAATGTTTTTAAAGTCCTTTTAAAAGCAGCAAGCGAAGAAGCCAGCCATATGTCTCAGGAGGGAATTCCAGAAGGTAGGTGCCACCACAAAGAAGGCCTATTGGTTTTATTGATCTTAGTGCCATCATGCATTTGGAGAAAAAAAGCACCTTGGGTGTGAATATTTGACATGGAATCATAGAATAGTAGAGTGGGAAGGTGCCATGAAGGTCATCAGGTCCAATCCCCTGCTGTTGCAGGACACCACGTTACACCATCCCACTCAGGTGGCTGTCCAGTTTCTTTTTGAACGTCTTCAGCGTGGGAGTGCCCACCACTTCTCTGGGCAGCTGGTTCCACTGTTGTATTGCTCTGACAGTGAGGAAGCTTTTCCTGATGTCCAGCCTGAATCTGAGTTGTCACAACTTCAGTTGATTTTTCTGTGTCCTACATTCTGGTATCAGCAAGAAGAGATCTTGACCTTCCACTTTGTGACAGTCTTTGAGGTACTTATAGAGGGATAGAATGTTCCCCTCAGTCTTCTCTTCTCAAGGGTGAACATGCCCAGTTCTCTCAGTCTCTCCTCACAGGGCAGTGTTTCAGATGGCTGGCTGATAGGCCCTGAGTATTTAAGTCTTAATGAAAGGGACAGCTCTCTTGAACAGAAGTGGTATAGAGGTGATTATTCTCAGCCTATACTCCTGTGTCACACTTACATATATATGTCTGCTTTTATTAAACATGTTAGTTCAATCAATACATAAGAAATTATTTTTAGGGTAATGTTCACAGAGCCTAGGCTTAGTAAGTATGTTTTCCACCTATTTCCCTCACATGCAGAAACATGCACACACAAGCACTTAATTTTGGCAGGTGTGATTGAAAGGAACACTCAGAGTGGTTAGGAAGAAGAGTCAGAACTGATTTCTGAAAAGATTTTGTTAATGCTGTGGTCAGAGGATTTGTCAAGATCAGAATGAGAAAAAAGATTCAGCTACAAAGCCCCTGCCTTGCATGCAGAAAGCCCCAGGTTCAATCTCCAGCATTGCCAAGAATGGCAAGAAGAAATCCTGCCTGAAACTCCAGAGCTAGTTCCAGGCTAGATGGACCAAGGTAAGAGGGTAAGGTGGCTTGCTTTGTCTACATGACACAGAGTGTAACTATGAAAGAGAAACTGGAAATTGTTATGGGAAGGAAATCTTGTCCTGGATTCTTTGGGATTATTCACAAAGAACTCTGCACAGCAACTTGTTCTGCCCTCATGTGCATTTATTTCATTAAGGTAGTTCTCAAAAATCAAACATAATCCTCTGCATTTTTCTCATGGAAAACAAGTTACATTCCCAACCTCAATCAAACATGTTAAAGGGCTCTGCAAACACCACACGATCAAATGGGGATTTCTGCAACAGAAAATGGCAGGGCAATGACAGGTCATTCCAGGGAGAACTTAAGCTAGGTGCACTTCTGCTGTGGATTGCAAATGGAGATGCCACACCCTTCCCAACAAGTAGAGAAGTGTGAGAGCAGCTCAGGCCCCTCTCTAGGCGGAAGAGGACACTGGATTCTCACTTCTCACATTGCACCAGGAATGCAGAAAGAGGGAGCACAGCTTGCTTGCATTGGCCACAGATGACCCAGAGTGTGGAGAGGCATGCTTGTAATTCAGACGACGTTTCTTTTCAAATTCTCCGCCCTCCAATTTTCAGGCATACTAAAAAGTCAGTGGAAGGGAAAACAAAGTCCAGAGTTATACAAACAGAATGTTGGCTCTTTGGGTCAGTAAGACCTGCAGCATTTGCTTGGATTCCCATGACCATGGTAAACCATGATGCCGCTACCAGTTAGTCAAGGGTCAAGGGTCATTTCCATCTACCCAAATCATTGCCATTTTTCATCTGCTGGCATGCTGAACCACTCTGCTTTCCTTGGTGAGTTTATTCCCTGAGCCTTGGGTGCTTCCACACTCCGTGATTACTCTGGAATAGCCACACTGCATTCATTCTTTTGTTATGGGTCATGTGTATGACACAATCACCACATACTTTCCCCATGCCTTGTGTTTTCCCTGTGGCTCCTTCATCTTTTCTCAGACTGCAGAAAAATTCAAGGAAAGAGAAATCAAGTGGAACAGAAGAGCAGTTTCTACAGGAGCAGATGGTTTGTAGCTCTACTGTTCTACTTCAATTTAGAGGTACGGTATTGATGTGTGCAGTGAGCCTTCATAAACTGAAGATTATGTTGACACCTTTTACTGCCTCCTCTAGTTTCTTCTCTTCCTGTTCTTTTTTGCTTGTTTATTTGGTAATCACCTGCTCTGCTCTGACCTGCCCTGACCTGCCAGAAATGTACCTTTTTGTTTTTTGTTTCGGAACACAAGAAACTGACTTGCACTGAGCCGGACTCTTGGTCCATCCAGCCCAATACAGTCAGCACTGGCCGGCAGCAGTGGCTGTCCAGGGTTTGAGGCAGGGGTTTCCCTCTGGGGGAGGGACAGGGATGAAGCCTGGGGCATTCTGCATGCAAAGGAGGGTTGCTACCTCTGAGACACTCCTGCCTTCCACTCCTTTCTTTTCATACTTGAGATTCAGAAAGCTCTCTTCTCTCATTCTCCTGCATTCTCATGGTGGCAGTGGCAGCGGCAACAAGGAGGATGTGGACTTCTACAAGAGCATTCCGCAGTTGGGCTGGAAAAATCTGTTTCATTTTCTGTAAGCGCCATGTTTTTCCAAGCAGTTGTTCATCCCATCGGGTTTCTGCTCCTTCTGCTCCAGTTTGGGTGAAGCAGGGAGAGAGATGAATTAAATCTAAGTGAAAATTCATATGTAAGCTTATGCTTAGGAAAATTTGTCTGCAGTTTTTGTCTGCAGTTCTGCTTGTATTTCATTTTTTATTTGCAGTGCAGGGGAATAGACACCATCCATCCACTATGTCACGCCTATATTTGGAGAGAGCACAGTGGATGGTCAAGAGACATACTATTTAATGTATGCTCATCATTCCTTACAGTTGTTTAAGGATTCTTTAGACAATGACATGGCCCTCCTGTTTCATTTGTTTTGTGAAAGTACATTTCTGTTTTATTTCAATTTTCAGAATAGGGAATATGGGGTATTATTTCTGAAAGCAAAGAAAAATGCCTTTTCCTACTTGTATAATTGCATTAGTCTACTATAGCACATTGTCACCTAGAGGTCATGTAGCAGAAAAGCAGAAAAACTCCATGTAGGCCCTGTATTTCAATTCTGCAACAAAACAAGAAGTAGGTACAGCAGATACCCTAGAGCCCCTAGAAAAATTCTTAACTTGTTGCTGTTCTGGGCACCACCAAGAAACCAGAAAAACAACCAGTGCATAGCACCAAGAGTCTTCTGCACCAAAGTATCATACATAGCTATGACTTACTGGAAATTATTGTACGAAGGAAAAGCTTGTCCTGCCCTGGATTACTTGACATTATTCACAAAGGACAACTTATAATGACTTGCTTTGCCCTAAGGTATATTTCACAGAGAAAAGTCTGTATAATCAAACATAAGTACACCTTTGATGGTAAATCCAGAAATGACCCTTTGGAAGCTCAATGACCCTTTGGAAAGTGAGAAATTTGTTGTTGTTGTTGTTAGTCACGAAGTCATGTCCGACCCATTGCGACCCCATGGACAACATTCCTCCAGGCCTCCTGTCCTCCACCATCCCCTGGAGTCCACCTAAGCTCACACCAACTGCTTCAGTGACTCCATCTAGCCACCTCATCCTCTGCCATCCCCTTCTTCTTTTGCTATCTATTGTTCCCAGCATTAGGCTCTTCTCGAGGGAGTCCTTCCTTCTCATTAGGTGGCCAAAGTATTTGAGATTCATCTTCAGGATCTGGCCTTCTAAAGAGCAGTCAGGGTTGATCTCCTCTAGGACGGACCAGTTTGATTAGGAATCAAGTATATTTTACTCACCCAAATAGTGTTTTCTCACTTACTCTGCATTACTTGCTCTGCAGTTACTAAGGCAGCAATTTGAAGCACCCTAATCCAAAAAGTTACTTCCACTGAATTCT